CTCTCTGCCTTTACTGAATACAAGGAGAAATAATAAAATATACCAAAATGTGACACATAAAAGTAAATTGCCATGTAACGTAACCATGAGCCTAGCTGAATACTATCAAACTGACAGAATGTGTCATTAACAGAATCGTTTTCTTGACATAAACTGGCAGTGTGGTGCAAACAGTTTAATTCTCTCAAACCATGGCACTAGGAATCATTCTATGAGGACACCTTGTTTTGTTATGACACAATAGAATCCCTTTAGATACTCTGCCAAAACTTCCAAGTGAGGACAAAATGCCCTATCATAAAGAAGCAAAACTTGCTAACAGGTCATTGTACTTTGTAGCATGAAAGCAGACCAGAGACCACCGTCAATCCAAACATTTCACCAGTGGAGAAGAGCTCATGAGAAAGCAATATGACACTCTTGCTATTCTTGTTCTAGAAGATTCTATTAAGCTCTCATGATTCTGTCCTCCCATTCTTCCCATTGGTGCAAACAAGGTTGAAATTCACCTGCTAGTTTGCCTCCCCTATTATGGACTAAGGAAAGACCACGTCCTTAAGAGTATATCCACTCTTAACACACCGGGCATGATGGTGCATGCCTTTAATCCCAGCACTCGGGAGGTAGAGGCAGGCGGATCTCTGTGAGTTCAAGACCAGCCCGATCTACATAGCCAGTTCCAGGCCAGCTGGGGCTACTGGGAGACCCTGTCTCAAAAAGACCAAAAAAAAAAAAGAAAGAAAGAGTATATCCACTCTTAAATTATATAAATATGGTACTTATGCATGAAATTCTCAAAAAAATTTAAAGATTGTGAAGACAGGGGGAAAATTGGTTGTAGGGCACAAGTGACACAATTCCTGATTTGAATGCTGTGGATCAACGTGCAGAAAACTACCCTCCACATATTATAAGACCTTTGAATTCCTAATTGACCTATGTATTTTATTATTGCTAAAACATTAATAAATGTGCAAATTTAATAACAAAATAAGAGTATATCCATGCTAAAGCAGAGCTAATACAGAGAAGCTTAAAAGCACACATTGTGGAGGCAAGGGAGGAGCAGGTGCTAAGAGGAAGGAGTATTTGATATGAAATTACAGATATACCTAACTCCCCCAAGCTTTCAGGATGTGTCCACAGTTGGCTCCTCATAACAAGAAAAAATAAATATGATTTTTCACTTATTAAGTGTGAAAAACATGGGCTAGGATTGGGGATTGGTAGCTGAGCACTTGTTTAACATTTGGAAGGCCCAAAGTTTAGCGCTTAGCATCACAAATTAATAGTAGCAACACCACCACCACCACCACCATCAGCAGCAGCAGCAGCAGCAGCAGCAACAATAGTAGTAGTAATATTAAACTCTAAATCAGCTATTTACAGACTTGTTTATGCTCACCCATCACCTTTTCTTTTTTAAAGAAAAGGATCATTTAATTTTGCTTATAGTATTTCTACTCTAATGTTATTTATAGTAAGTTTCATACAACAAACTTTATGGTGACCGTTTCTAAAAGTACAGTCTCTGGAGAGTGTCACCTTCCATTGTTCAAGGGTTATTTGGACTGCATAAAGCTGGATGATCTAATTTGTTGTGTATAGTACAGCATGATGTCGCAACCCTTCCTATTAACTGGTACATCTCTATGGGGTAAGACTTTTTCAGCATGTAAAGCATTTGGCATCCAGTACTGAAGAATAACATTAGAAGAAAAAACATATGGTAGGCGGTATAACTGGTGAGGGGAGCACTTACCTAGGATGAGGCCCTGGATTCAACTCCTAGCACTGCCTGGGAGAGTTAGTGACTTTTAAATCTTATAGATATTTAGCTGACCTAGTGTTTCCATTGCATTAGTACAGGTTGGACACATTTTTAAATCACAGGTTTAATCCTGTGCAAGTCCCACCCCATCTAAGAGCTACAGGCAATTGGCTACTGAGGGAGAGAAAGTCCATTTTCTTCAGGGGTACAGGGCCTGAGTTGCTAACCATGCACATACAGGTGGTACTAAATGGACTAAAAGGGAGGGAGGGAGGGAGGGAAGAAGGGAGGGAGAGAGATATGATGCTGGAAGGGAAACATGGTGGGACAGGAAAAATTGGAGGGAGGTAAGTGAATTTGATCAAATCACACTATAAGCACATATAAATATTAAAATGATTTTATCACAGAAACAGTAAATGATAATTATTGTCTAGATTGAATTTTTAAGGTTTTTGGGGGGGGTCTTTTTGAGACAGGGTCTCCCTGTAGCCACGGCTGTCCTGGAACTCACTATGTAGACCAGGCTGGCCTTGAACTCACAGAGATCCGCCTGCCTCTGCCTCCCGAGTGCTGGGATCAAAGGCATGTGCCACCACGCCTGGCCAAGTTTTTTAACTTTTGTGTATTTCATACATATTTTATCATATTTAGAACCCCTCCCCTATTTACACACCCCATACCACCTGCTGCCTCATTTCATGCACTCCGTTACACATTTTTTTTAGGCCTATTGAGTCAAACGTATGTCCTCAAGTGTCTTTTGGTGTGGGTCCATTCACTGGATCCTGATTAACCTTCCCAGAGTCACACCTTTAAAGAAGACTGAATCTCCCCCACCCCCACCCCTGAGCTATCAGTTGCCACTCATTCCTCAGCTAGGATTGGAGTTTCTTGCCTACTTCTCCACATCTATGCTGGGATTTTGTCTGACTTGAGCTTACATAGGATTTCTGCATGCTGTCACCACTGCTATGACTTCATTAAAGAGTCACTGACCCACTGTCTGGAAAACTCTGTCTCCTTGTGGTCATCCACCACCTCTGGCTCTTATAATCTTTCCCTCTTCTCCAATGATCCCTGAGCTTTGGGAGGCAGAATTATGATGTACATGTCCTATTCAGAGATAAGCATTCTACATTCTCTGCATATTGGCCAGTTGTGGGTCTCTGTGTTAATAATCATCTGCTTCGTGAGGAAGCTTCTCTGGTGAGAGTTGAGAGATGCATTACAGACTCAATATTTTTAAAATACAGAAGGTGAAGCATTTTAACCATTGACATAGGAAAGAAGACATTAAAATGGTTTAACATTTTCATATTTTAATGACATAGTTATGTAATAATGCTCACCTACTTGATGTAATACATTCTTATAAACAATTAAAATCAATTTGATAACATGCCCAATTTGCTACAATGTGATGATTGAAGAATATACAATATACTAGTTTTGGAAAAAAATTTTTATATATTTAAGGACATCAAATACTTCAAGCACCCAAGTTAATAAACAAATATTTTTTCCTTAGACAATACTGTTTCAGATTTAAAATGTCATATAATTCTCTTTATAATTCTGAACTCTAAACTAACAAGAAAATTAAGAAAATATAAATGCAATTTACACTTGGTTTGAAAACTTATCTTTTAGAATTAGAACTTCCTTACTCTGACATTTTCATCTGAAGTAGGACTACCAAAAATTATAGCATAAGAAGTCTTACCTGCATTTCTGTTTCTTAAACTTCATTCTACTTTATACTGATAGTCCAAAAGTATTATCTTCCTGCCATACAAAAAAATGACACATGCCATCATCATTTTATTATTCATATGAAACTATTCCAGGTATATTAAATTCTTAAGAGTATTTCGGGCAATATCAGAGGCATTATCAAAATGTTTTGTTATAGTCTTCAAAATGATGAATTCAAATATTTATTAATGGGGAAACAATGAAACAAGGAAAATTCAACTCAGTATGCATAAGAGATTATCTTGACATCTGGGAAGTATCATGACCTCAGATATAGTCAGTTCCATAACTAACAGCTGGACACGTGATTTCTCTTATGGTAAAAATCTTTAGACTTCTAAAAGAATAAGCATGTTACTTCTTTAGTTCACCAGGATGCTATGAAGACTTAGTAATATAAAAATGTGGAGAAATATATAGAAAAACAATGGGATAATTTTCATTTTAGTGATGATTGTCTTGAAAACCAAAATGAAACCCAATGTGTCTTTCTTTGCAGGAACTACTTTTCAAATGTTGCAGCTTTCAGCAAATGTGTGTGCTAAGTATGTTTACTAGTTGTTCTATTATTTGTGGCTTGTAGTTTAGAGATAATAGCTATTTAACCATCTAAAACTAAAATTTGTATTAATATATAGTTCCTTTACTGTAGATAAAATTTTTGTTTATATTGAACCCATCGATCATATCAAGGTTCAATCATATCAAATGCAATTTACACATTAAAAAACTAATAAATTCTAAAACCTAGATATTCCTCTCTTACCTAATCAAAGTCTTAATCCATAGACCATTGTTACAATGATGTTTAATTTAATTTGCATGTTTGTCACAAAATGATGTAGAAGATGAAAAGTTTTCTGTACATGCATACTACTAACAAGACATGTGGGGCTCATCTCTCCGAAGTATACATAATCTGCTTTGGAATTCTGCTTAACAGCTTGCTTGTGAGGCAAATTTTGAAGCTGCATTGAAAAATTAATGGACAGATTCAAGTAGCTTGGGAGATTTTCATGAATATGGAAAAATCATGAGTGGCCAGTCAAAAGTTCCTGAGAAGGGTGATTTAGGATCTCTCTAAGCTCTTCTTGAACATTGTTGAAAAGTCTCTGATTTTTTTGCAGTGATTATAATACATATCTGGTGGCAGAAAAGACAAAGTCCACATAAAGAACTTACCACGAAGGTCTGGCTCCATCACATGTGGAGTCGACACAAGGTTTTGAATAGGTGAGAAGGGTCAGTTTCCTAGCAATGTGTGAGGGTAAAGCTAGAAGGCCTAGCTATTAAAGCAACGTGGTTTTGGAATATCTGAGCTTGAAAACATAAGGACATATGAACTGAAAATTGGTCCAATTGGTTAAGTAATTACTTTTATTTCAAAACTAGTTAAACTAAACAGTAAGATCTCACTTGGGGAAATTATTTGGAACCCCAATTTGATGTTAATTAAAATTAAAGGAAATACTTACACCTTGCGATCACCTTCAATAGCATAATGTAAAGCAGTCTATCCAAATGAGTCTTTAAAAGAGATGTCAACACCTTGTTGAAGAAGAAGGTGGACCATAACTGGTGATTCACATCTTACAGCATACATTAGAGAATTTCTAAAATAACAAAGATAACTTCACAGTTACACGTTTTAACATAATTATTTAAATGATTATTGGATGTATTTTACCAATTACGTTGCCCAATTGTAAAAAATTATTAATACACATAAACATCTTGGGACATCCAGCATCCACCACTGTAAGTTTTCTTCAAAGCTAAAGGATGTAGCAGTCGTGTAGCCTTCCTGTCTCACTAACATATTACCTAGTAGGATTCTCACTTTAATATCATTTGATGGACAACTATGGTGCTAAGGAAAATTTATCTGGGAAACATTAAAGCTTAAAAGATTTCCCTTTTTTCTATGGCCTAATACAATATATTGCAATTTATAGTCAAGTAAATAAAGCTAGTTGCATGATTAATATAATAATAGTAACAATTATAAAATAATATTGATCATAATGGCAAAGGTAGTTCATAGCACTTTAGTTAATGATGCTGATCACTGTGTG